CAACCACAACCACAACCACAACCACAACCACAACCACAACCACAACCACAACCACAACCTCAACCACAACCACAACCACAACCACAACCACAACCACAACCACAACCACAACCACAACCACAACGACGACGACAACGACAACGACAACATCAATAACAACAACGCCAACGCCGATGCAGACGCCGACCCGACGCCGACGCCGACGCCAATACCAACACCAACACCAACACCAACACCATTACCAGCTGCAGCCAGCAGCAGCAGCGGCCGCAGCAACAGCAACAGCAACAGTAATCCTTGCCCCTTAACATTAAAAAGGCTCCGTAATATGAAAACTGGAATCCGGGGGTTTGGTTTTCGTAGTAGGGGGGTTTTCGGCACATCCGGGTATGAGTGGACTATCTTCACCATTATTTCCCAAACAATATCCCCTTAATGTTATGAATACCTCGACTCCTGGCTGCTAGTTATCCTAAGCCTGTAGCCTCCATACTTATCTAAAGCCCTGATTAATTAAACCTTGAAGCCCTAAGCCCTAAACCCTAAAACCTAAGCCCTAAAACCCTAGTCCTAAACCCTAAGCCCCAGGCCCTCAGCCCCTAAACCCTAAGCCCTGCGCCCCTGAACCCTAAGCCCTGAGCCCTAAACCCTAAAACCCTAAGCCTTAAACCTTGAGCCGCAAAGCCTTAAGCCCTAAACCTTAAGCCCTAAGCCCTTAAACCCTAAAGCCCTGGTCCTTTCGGTTNNGGTTTAGTACTACTGTAGTCTCGGCTCTATTAAAACTAATACAATCCTAGGCCCTTCCAATGTGTTTAATTAACTTTCAAGTAAATTACGGGCCCGAAACCGCGAAATCCTGGGGCCGGGGCCGGGAGGTTTTCATCTTAGGGGGGAAAGTTAGGGGGAAGCGATTAACAACAACAGCAACAGCTGGCATCACGGACCGGCATAGTATTTATCGTTCTGACGACTCAACTTCGTCTTCAGCAGCAGCACCATCATGGGTGTAGTTCTGTTTTAGACCATCATTGATTACGATCTGACGCACTGCCCAGGATGTTTTCCTACTTGGGACTGGCCCGACTCGTCTGCATGTTTATTGTGTTCCTTGGCCTTTTGGTTTTGTGTGGCTTGGGCTTGCCACGACGTCGTTTAAAGCTTCAAATTTGGACGTCGAGTTTAGCGTTGATGTTGGACGGCTGAATGCTGGGATGAGGATTCTGATGAGTATTGCTTGCGTAGTCAGGCGGCTTTTGCATGGTTGTCAAGTCGTGAGCAAGCGGTGCGATGGGCTATACGTGAAAGCCAGTCACCTCTTTGGAGACTTCTTGCTCGCTGAATACCTTGATTTTGCGCAATCCTCGTGGCCGGTAGTTTTGCCAGTTCGTACACTACGCAGAAAGCTTGAGCCGAAAAACACACCTGGCAGTCTGAACCTTGCTCCCCTTTGATACCTAGCTTTGTTTGGCCCCCAGGCCAGATCAAGCCAACGCGTGCATGTTGTGTGCTTGTGGAGGCTAACACCTTGAGCATAATCGTTGAGGTGACCTAGAGCCCTGGTCAAAGAGCTGTCAAGTTATGTGTTACGAAAAAGGCGTGATCTTGGCCATGTGCTCGTCTCTCGCCTGGAGGGCCTGTTAGCATTCCGAAGGAAAAAAACTCAGAAACTTCGGGCTAAACTCACAGTCACAACATCTTTGTTAAACCGAGGCACAGCCTGGGTGAAAGGGCTTAGCAGTTCTCCACTCGAAGCCTCGAAGCTTAGCTTAGCCCTGTCACTGCAAGCGGAGGTACATGCATCATACCGGTGTCATCTCCGGAAGGCTGCCACTGAATCCAGCCAGATTGCAAGTTCTCTACATTTGGCAACTCGGACTCAAGAGCCAGAGCATGAGTGCATAGTGTGCATAGTTGAACTTGCCCCTTTAGACTCAGTCTGCCTGATTTTGAGTACTTCTTCCGTGGGCTGATCAGCTGACACAGGCTGTGGCATGATGCGGCTTCAGGCCTAGCTGGCCCTTGAAACATCCGCCTTGAAGCCAGTCGCCAGTGCATTGGTCTTAGGTACTATGGATCATTCGCAATGCTGCTCCTGGGAGGGATCTTCCATCGTGACAGCGACGCCAAAGAGAGGTCAATGCAAGCCTTCAACGATGGGTGCCTCAGCTTCATGGTTTGGTGCCTCTAGCTTGCACACCTTAGGACGCTTGGGAGGCTTGCCAATTAGGTGAGATTGCAGCCCGACCGCAACCGCAAGCCCCGAAGCCAAGGCGAGGCTAGGCTGGGGGATCTGATCCTGAAACCAAGGGCACGACGCTGAGTCAACTACAAACGCCGCGGTGCCAATGCATAACGCCTTCCAATCACATACAGGTACGGCCCTGAATGTTTTGGGGCTAGACTTACAACATCCCGGGCCCGACTGACGGAGGATCTAGGGAGGACAAAAACTGCACAAAGCCTGTTCTACTTGCATAGTCACAGCGCTGGGCCTGTGCTTTGCAACGCTGTTCTTCTCAAGTCCTGTCCGAGGCCCGGACGTTCCATTCGCCCATACAGAACTTGCGTGAAACACATCAGACGCCGTAATCCGACTTCCTGAAGGAAGGAGCCGAAGCCCGGAATAGTACGGCGGAGCCTTTGACCTTCGACCCAAGAATTCTTCATATCCGAAAGATTCTTTCAGGAACCAAAAAAGCACCCTAGCAACAACTTGGGCGTGGGATAAAATCACTTTATCGGATTGCTGAAAAAGTGGATTATGGGAGATCCCAACATTGTGTTTTTTGTTTTGGTGCTTGTATGGTTCCTCATATTATGTCCGATTGGGAGCAACAGCCAACAGCGGTAGTAGCGCAGCGCGAGTAGCAGCAGGACTCCTAGCAGCCCTATAGACGAGGAGGAGGGGATGCGAAGGAGAAGCCGAGCAAACCAGCGGTAGCCACAGGACGCCTCATCACTCAACAATGTTGGTTTGAGGTTCTATTCCTAGACCATATGAAAATTAAACCCTTAACCTGCACATCCCCGAGCTCCATGCAAGCATCCGAGGGGTCGACTTCTTATGGCGGTCGTCATTATGCACAAGCCGACAGCACTTCCTGCACAATTGGCCACCTGGTGCAGGACAGGTTCTGGGCTCCAAGGCAGAAGGATTTGGAAGCTGGATCAGTACTTACACTTTTGAGGTTTTGGTCTGAAATTTCCGAAAGCATCGCGAAGGTATTTCGGTAAAGGTGGTTGTTGCAGATTGATATTTGATGCATCGACTGATGTAGGGTTTTCGTGAAGTTCTCTCTGTAGGTGGTGGTGTCCGCGTCTGTGGATGGCTGGAACACTTGCATGCACTCGAGCTCCACCTTTGGCTCTGGCGTGTGAATGTGCTCGTGGCTTTGTGCCACCGAGCTTAATACCCCACCCACCCGGCCTTTGCAAAGGCTGTGGTCAGTCTGCCTGTCCAACGACAGTTTAGGTTGCTTGCTGCCGCGGCAGCAGTTGGCAGTTGTGCAGAAGTGCCAGAAAAGACGAGCGACATGGAGTATGCAAGTGTTTAGATCGATGTCGGATGCGCCCCCTAACTACAGATGATGTTGTGCATGTGGTGCCGTGACGATGCGTGCACGTGTATTCGTGCTGGTAGGCAGCATTCTGGTCATGTGTCTGTTGATCGCCATCGGGCTTCGGTGACTTGTCGGTTCGCGCTCGGGACTGACAACCCTCTCGGTGGGCCTGCCTTCTCGTATCCTTCAGAAGGCGCGAAAAATTGGCCTCATTTTGGCCTGTCCAACAAGGTAATTTACAAACGCATGACCTCCAACATGGTCAGGTCGCAGGCGGTGGGGCGCAGGGGGAGTGCTGGAGGTGGTGCGTTCGCGGAGAGTGTTGTTTGTCGATGCTGGTGTGGTTTGTCCCCCCCTTCAGCCCTCTTTGCATACGTGCGCTGTCAAGCCGTGCGATCGTGCTCAACATCGTGACAAGATACAGCAGGATGTTTTGCGATCGCAGAAGCAACGTCTTCGGGTGCCGATCGCAACGCATGAGCATTGCATGAAGCATTTACCGTATGCAGACCCAAGACCCACTAATGCTGGTTATACTGGTGTCATTGCAAAGCATGTGGTTTTGCTCTGCATAATAGAATTCGCCACCTGAGCGTATCTATAGATTTCGGTGGCGTTGAGCCGATTACTACTTTTGACATCGCTTATGTTGCAATATGCTCCCGAAACATGGGCCTTGGACGTCTAAGCCGAAGCTAAGCAGCATTATGCTAAGACAGGCGAGTTGTATGTTGTCCGTTGTCAGTAACATAGCCAGGTTCCTGGTATTTTCACGAAGTCCAGTACTACTGTACCAGCAGCACTTTGTGCCCGATGAACTTCGGCAAAGAGTTTAGGCTTTTTTGGGGTGCAGGGTCCATCCAACTGACAAAGATATGATGTGGAGAGGGTCTCAGGGTGGATGGTTTAGCTAGCAGGAAGGCTCAGGGAGCGACCGCTGGAATTGAATTTATGAGCATGCTCACAAGTATCGACTGTAGACGATGCAAGACGTAAGAGTAAGCGTGTTCCAAATTAGTAGGATCCCTCCAAAAGCTTAAAGGGTGGGCATTGCCTCAACTTATTCCTGAGAGCTATGGCTATTGCCATAAGGGAAAACTTAGTTTCGTAGCCTCCCTCAGATGTGCACTAGACTAGAAGGATCTAGAAGGGTTAACATGATGACCTGGCCCCGCAGCAGCGGGAAAAACATGTCAAGTGCAAGGCTATATCCGCAGCCGAGATTGTTGTGTACTGGTTCCACCACAACGATGTCGCAGACACCGCAGCTGCTCGATCGCGGTTGGCGACTGCTTTCAGTCTCGACCGTCGTTGACCATTAAGTTGAAATTCTCTGGGTCCTACACCGCAGCATGCAGGCACGTCATGTTGAGACTTGCTCCAGGCAGCCATGCAGTGTGGGAAGCATGGGCCCCGAAAGCTTAATCCTCATTCCTGCCACAGCAGGGCACTCGCAAGTTCCATCAGACCATTTGAGGCCGCCTCTGCATGTCCCTATGTGGTCACACGCACATAAGAGACCGCAGGGGTTTTCGCAAGGAGCGTTTAATTAGAATGTGCTTTTAACCACGCCTGCCAGCAAATATCAGCAATGTGTATTTATGCTTGTTGAAGGGACGATGTAGGATCATCCTGCCTTGAACCTTAGGGCGTTGCTGTAAATACCAGT